AGTCCAGTTGCTCTTTGTCTTTCTTCAGGCCGGTTTTTACTCTATTATTATGCTGAAAAGCTAAGTTAGGGCTGCCACAGGTCACCTTCTTATCAGTTAGTTTTAATCTGGATTTGTCATTCATCATCCTCAGCTCAGATCAAGCACCCATTTCCCTGAGTAACAATTACAGAACCACGGAATGGGCAAGGATGGAAGAGACCACAGTGGGTCATCTGGACCAACCTACTTTTCAAGCAGGGTCATCCTAGCGCATGTGGCATGGAATTGTGTCCAGATAGTTCTTGAGTATCTCCAGTGTGGGAGATTCCACAACTTCTCTGTCTCTGTGCTCAGTCACCTGCACAGTAAAGATCTTCCTATATTCAGGTGGAGCTTCCTTGCATCAGTTTGTGCCCACTGCCTCCTGTCCCATTGCTCGGCACCACCGAGCAGAGCCCGGCTTCATCCTCCTGGCACCTCCCTTCAGATACTCACAGACATCGATGAGTTCCCCTCTCAGTGCCTCTGCTCGAGGCTGAACAGGCCCAGCTCCCTCAGCCTTTCCTCATCAGAGAGATGCTCCAGGGCCTCAATCATCTTTGTTACCCTCCACTGGAGCCACTCCAGGGGCTCCATGTCTCTCTTGTCCTGAGGAGCCCAGGACTGGACTCAACACTCCAGATGTGCCTCACCAGGGCAGGGCAGAGGGGCAGGATCACCTCCCTTGAGCTGGTGACATTCTTATACTGACATATTGTCTCTATAAATCAACAAAATAGTCTCTGTGGGAAAGCAAATTCTCCTGGCAAACAGAAATCACAGGGGTTAACTGATGGAGTTCATCGTGGGAAATGCTTTCCCATCTCCTTTGCAAATTTGAACTTGGTATGTTCAGCTTCACTTTCCTCACAAGCCCATGTTCCCCTGCCTTTCTCTCAACACTTATCCCAGACCATCTTGCTGCACTCCCTTACCAGGATGCCTCCCCTCCCCCTCCAAGAGAATTCTCTTTCCCAAGTATTTGTCATATGCATGGCCCTATCAGTCAGTGCTGCACCTCTCATAAGTTTGTATTTTTCAGCTTCCACAGCCAAATGATTAGGTGAGAATCTTGGCTTATGGTTTTAAGTAAGTTTCCTAGACCTCATAGTAGCAAAGAGAAACTTAAAAACATTTACTCCAGTGCAGTCATTCTTAAGGCTAAGAAACCGTAATAAACCACACCCTAAACTTGTTTTATTTTTAAAATCTGAGTTTTAAGTTTTTAAGCTCGGGCCTTTCTCAGGCTTTCTTGTGATTTGTGAACATCTGGGATTGGCAGTGCTGTAATCTGAGCAAGCAGGTTGGAAAACATATTCCTACAATCCAGCTGATCCCTAGGGTCCACTTCCCACTGGTCCCACCAGACTGCACCTCCTGAAATGACCTTCTGAGATGCACCAGGGGCTTCCCAGGGTCAGCTAAGGAATCACTGCATTGCCTGAGCTTCTGCTTCCCCATTGCTATCTTTGGAAAAGTTAATGACCATGTTGGTTTTTTGAACTACCCCAGGGAGAGTAGCATCCTTCAGGCAAGCACAGATATCTGGAAGCAGGAAAAAGAGGTGTGATCAAATCCATGTGTTTTCTGTTCCCAGAGGAGTATATTTTCAGCCTTCACCAGCAAAATCCTTCTCACTTGCTTTTCTTCCGCAAAAGAATTATTCCAGGCACTCCTTCAGCTTGGTAAACATGCATAACCAGAGGCTGGATTTTTCCAAGTAATAAGATTTTGTTTCTTTTGTTGCCATTTCCAAACACAGCAGGCCCAGAATAAAGGTTTCTGTAAGATTTACCCATCAAAAATGCCTAACAAATATGGCATTTCACTCCAGCTGCTTACTCTGTTTTCCTCTATAGTTTCTTCTGCTTTCAGATCCCCCTGCCGTGCTAGGCAGAAGAGCCTGCCTCCATTATTTAATCTCTAGCCTCAGTAAGTGCTTACATTTTAAAGTTAAATTGATTTTTCCCTCTGTTCCATGAACACTGTCACTTGGTCTGGCCACACCAGTCCACCCACAACAGCCAATAGAATTTGCAAAGTACAAAGTATACATTTTGTAAGAAGCCTGAAGAATGCTGAATTCTAATGAAACAAAGCCAAGGTAATAAAAAGCACTGAAATTCAGTGCTGATCCTACCAACGTCATTGTTAGACTTAGCCCTGCTGTGATGAGAACTGCAGGGATTACTAAGCGTGTCTTCCTTCTTAATAGCTCAATTGATGGTTTCAGTAGTGATGCCCAAGTTGCTGTCACGTGCTAGATAAAAATAACTGAATACGGTATCTTCACAACAGTGCTGATCAGTGTGGGTTATGACAAAGAGTTTTTTAAAGGGAAAACTCATTTCCCATCTTTGGTCTACTACATGTCAGCTGATTCATGAAATTTACCTGAAAAGGAAAAATATTTTTTTTTTTCATTTGTGAACAGTCTTAATGGTCATGATCCATTACTGGAGGGCAATAGTAAATATTCAATTTATTATTAATTTTTAGCATAAATATACTTGAAAACCAAATCCCTGGTATTTCAAGATAGGGGCTGGAGCTTAAAGTCACTGAAGTCTGTGGCTTTTGTTGTTGTTGGGTGAATAAAAAAACTACTGGAAAACCTGAGGAGGCTCTAATGACAGAAACCCAGATTGGATGGAGTCACAGAAGATAGCAGATGGCTTGGGGTATCTTTTCTTGAAAAAACCTAATTTCTTGATACCCAGACAAAAAGGCTGTGTTAAACAAAATCAGACACAAAAACATATCAGAAAATTGCAGGTCCTCTGCCTACCAAGGAAATGTCTAAAGTGTGCCATACCCAAAGCACATTAAGTAATTAATGAAAGCCTTGATTAAGCTACTGACCTTGATAGAAATATGCTTTCTGTCACTGAAAAGAAACAAACCCATGTGAAAATGAGCAGCCCCTTCCTTCTTCATATGAGCTACAGTAACCTCCTCCTTAAATCTGTGCTTCAGTAGATATAAGTGAGGATATGAGGAAATCACCTTATTACTGTGAGTTATCAGCCACTGAGAAGAGCTTTGGAAGTAGCTACATGAAGGCATTAAAAGCTCCTTGAAATAGATGCAGACAGCTGAGGGAGAGATGGGCTGGTTAGGAAAGAAAAGAGAGAAATGAGATTGCAGCCTCCTCTGGTTGCTGCTTGATCTGTGAAAATTGCAGAGCCTTTTCTTAATATATGCTTCTAGGCTAGGATTGAAACACTCAATAAAAATATACCTGGAGCTAAGATATAATTAGCTTTTATTGCTACTGCTTTTTGTATGTCAGAACTTCTTAGATTAACTGCTTTGCTTTTATTTCAGTATTTGAACAAATGGTGCTATTACAAGCTTCTCCTCAGAACCAGTGAGGTGGTTTGTTTTGGTAGCTAAGAGTACATTATACCCCACAGACTATCCTCTAAGCCCTAAAAAGAATAAAAACCTTTGTACTGTGCTAGATATTATATTAAGCAGAAACTGAAAATTTTAGAAGCAAAACACCTCTTGCAAAACATGACTTCTGCAAGTGGCATTGTTCAACTTCACGAGGAGTTGGGTTTCCCACACAAATGAGCTTCCAGCTAATTGAAATCTGTTCAAACAATGCGCACTGGAAGTTCTTACAAACTGTACAGGAATGCAAACCAGTTGATGCCGCTGTGCTGGTGGACTTGCAGCCTGAAATGCATGTTAAGATAAACAAGCTCCTCTTCTGCTGATCTTCGCCCCCTCCCACAGAGCACTGCTCTCACCTGGTGAAGAAGCAGATCAGCATCATTTTCCTGCTGACTGGCACCAGATGCTGCTGCCCTGCAGGGATGAAAGGGACTAAAGGGAACTGATTCTCTAGAGAGCACTCCCAGCTTTCCCAAAGTCTGAGAGTGGCAACATATGCTTACATTTTCTCTTTTTTAACTTGTAACTCTTATTCTTGCATTGCCAAAACAAATAAGATGAGAGCTCTCTCTTGCTTAAACTGAAATGCTCTCTCAAACTCCCTGGTAGCTATGCTCCTTTTTTTGTTGTTCAGAAGGCTGCCCCAGAGGAAAGCCAGGTAGTGCACACATTTACTTGCCAAGGTTGTGATATTGGCAAGATCAAGGCCAAAACTGTGCCCACATTTTCCCCTGGTAGAAGCTGATTCACTAAGAGCTCTGTTATGTGCTGTCTGCTGTGCCACATATCATGAAGTAAAGCCAACAGCCTGGCAAGGGATCACTATTGAACAGAGAGATGATACAAATCACTGGGGATTTGACTCACTGACTTTGCACTCGGCTCCACACCTACAGCTTTGTGGTTATTACATTAAAAAGAAATAAAAGCACTTTGTCAAAGTGCTTATAAAGCACTTATCTGCTTTATAAGGCAATATTAGTGACAGCTACCAGGGCGCTGTGCTTCTGTAAAACTCACACTTTACAAATATTAAATTCCACAATTATTTATAAACAAAGCAGTTTCATAAAACAATAGAGATATGGTAAATGCAATTAAACACATGTACTTAAGTCCAAAAATAGATAAAGAGTGAATGAAGATGTCATCCTGTTGTGAAAAATGAGTGACAGATTAATACATTTTTCCACACTTTTCAATATATTTATCATAAACCTTCCCTATGCATTTCTAACTATGACATGTTTGCATATGATAACTTTCTGGTTTTCAATTGAGTTTTAGCAAGTGCTTGCTTTCCCAGAAGAATAATAATGCTGGACCAGACCAGTGGTCCACTGGGTGAAATTCGTAACAACCACAGTTCTAATGCAGGTGCGTGATGAGCTCGGTCTTCAACTTTAACATTCTTGTGATAAAAGGATAACTATGATTGAAAACAAGTGAATTCCTAGCACTAAAGTTGTCAGCGGGATCTTTTCTTCCACTTACTTCTCTAGCAGTAAAATATCACTCACAACTGTGACTGGGAGTTGGTTTTAATTTCTTGAATTGGTTTATCCTAGGGTTTTGGGTTTTGGTTTTGTTTGGCTTTTTTTTCCTTTTAAGATTTCAAACATATTTGTTTTCACTTTGACCTCCACTTAAAATAGCAATAACACTTTTTTCTTCCTTTATCCAGAGTAGCTGAAGCTATTTTTTTTCCAATTATTCTTTTAGTGTTTTTTACCTTGCATTACTCAGGGATATTTTTCAGCTCTCACTCTACCATGCTGTAGCTTGCTTTTGTTCCTCCAAGTCCCTCAGTCATCTCTCATCCAAAATAACCGTTATCATTTTTCCTACTGCATATTTTTCATTTCAGTGTTCACCTACTTTTCAAGAAAAATATACATTTAAACACATGTATGCAGAGGGGGAGCCAGAGGCACTTTAGTAATAACCTTTGCCCTTACTAAGATTTAACCATTTAATCCCACTCTAGTGAGGTTTTCTTGTTTTTCAGTCAGGATGGTGCAGTACTTCAGCTCTTCTTCCATGAAAACCTATTATCCTCAGTCATACCTCTAATGAGGGATGAATAATTTTCTAAAAGGAAAATCCAACTTAAATGCCATCCTGTTCTTTACTAGATTTCTGTTAACTTATTCAAGGTGTTTTTGTTTTTTTTAATACAGAAGTTATGATTTATCACATGAAACACAATATGGATTAAAAATATCTCAATAATCTTTCAGTATCTTCATGTGTCAGCACCCTGATCTTATAAGATCCTTTACTTTTATTCCTTATAAGGAATAGGTTTCAGAATAATATACCTGCTATTAACTCACATGGTGAATATTGAGACAAATCTTTCATCATACTGCAGTACTCATTCTCCTTAGCTACAGCTCAGTAAACTTACAGATTTTCATGCAGGTTTTATGGTTTCACTTTATTGAAGACTTAAGCTTTATTTGGTCTTCTTTATCTCTGGTTATTTATGTTTCCTAGGTTTCCCAGATTTCTGAATTCTCATCTTTTCATCCTCTATTTTATTCTATTGAGCAAGACCATAATTTTTAAGAATTCCTGATTGCTTAGGAAAAACCACTTGAGCCTTACCACTGTGTCTGGGGTTCACTCTTACCATTTTGCTTTTTGTTGTACTTATTTCTGTCAAGAAATGATTCTAGGTGGTCTTCACATTGGTTTCTAATAACTTTCACATTTTAAAGTATCTTTATTTTTAGGATTTTTTTAACCAGATTTCTTATTACTCAAAATACTTTTATTTAAAGCTAAATGTTAGGGTGATCATTAATTTATTTCTATTAATTTATTTCTTTGGAATATTCATCAGAGCTTTTTAATGCAAGTGTCTAAATTTAGGCTGAAAAATAATTTGATTTTTCTAAAGTACTGAGCTCTCTAAAGCTAAATGAAACTGCTCAGCATTTTTAAATCTTTATATTTGGAAGTAAAACTTTACATACCACCTATTTTTAAAGTCCTGAGCCACATAATTTTAGAGAAAGGAAACAAATTTTACATGGCACTCCATATGTCCAAAACAAGCAAATAACATCCACAAAACTAGGTCTGCAGCAGCATTTTAGAAATTTTAGAGAAAGCTTGCCTGATCTGTATGTGCTTTAGGGCCAGCTCATAAGCAAAAACTTTATGAGCAGAAATCTAGGGACACTATGTGCTAAAGATAACAGAGCAATTTAAATCTCTTCCTCTGGAAATGTTACTAATTATCAACATTTTTACAGCACTGCCATCAACAGAACATAACCAAAGCCCCCAGAAATTATTTCGTGATCTCAGCCTTTCTTTCCTACACGCCTGTACAGATTGACACACTTTCCACAGAAGCACTTGATTGCAGTTAATGAAGATATCACTCAGTAAAAGGGAAATATTTGAACAAAGCTTCTGGTTTTGTCATTTTGCTGTTTTTCCGGAATCTCCCATAAACAAGACTTTTGCAAGAAAAGCATTTGCAAAGCAAGTGTAAAAGGCATCATTCTGCCACACCAAGTTAGTCTGGAGCCCTCCCGAGCTTTCTTCTTCAGCTTTATTGTCAGTAGCCATGCCAAAAAATCATAAGGTGTATGAAATAAAACGGTCAATGTGAAACACTATTTTGGGATTTATTTTTAAAATAACCAAAGTCAAAGCAGTTTTTTTAAGTAGATAAAATATTCAGTTCAATCAGGAATCTCTGAACTGATTTTTGAGTCACTTCAACCTAACTCACTTTTCCACAAGTTTCACAAGACAGTAGACTTCTTGACACTTAAAAAAAACTTTTAGTTGTTCAAGAAACTCTGGAGCAAGCCAAAGAAAAATACCTTAAGAAGCTGCTCCAGTATTTCGCATTACTTAATCCAAGTCATTTTTCTAAAGTTCCTTCCCTTAATAAATCACTTGGTTAATTACAGCTCCACCATAAGTGCTGTCATGCATAGGTACTAAAGCTGTAGTTTCCCTCTGTTATTCCAAGTAATAGATTAGATAGCAATCTAATGTGAGCTATTTCAAACATAGGAAAAAGAGTATTCATCTTAATTCAGCAATAGCATGTTCATGTTCATCATTATTATTATCAGTTTGATGGCCTTCTTCCCCAAGAGGCTCTTATCTTCTTGAGACAATTATCTTCTGCTGCTAAAGAGATTAAATACGTGGTGAGATATCTCATTTGAAAACTTTATCAAAAGCAGTTTATTTGGTTTTTTAATAGTTGTTCAAATGCCCGAAAATGTTTCCTTATAAAACCATAAAAATGTTGCAGGTAGACTTTGGTGCTGAATATACAGATGGAAGCAAGTTCTCAGGGAGGGTAAATATTATGTCTTCACCTAGTCATAAGTGATTTATTCCCTCTGATGTAGCCCTGCTCAATAACTATTTCTTGGTTCCTTAGTTACTACCTGAAATAGTAAATGATGGCTACTGCGGAAGCAGACCTCACTCACAACAGTGAGTAACGTGACATGTGGAATTACATGGATTGAGTAACTCTGACGATAACACAATATGGAAAATCCTACCAGAGAAGTGCTTGGAGACATGTTGTCAATAATTTCCTCAGTCATTAAAAGACCAGTGCATTCAGTGCTGGCAAAACTTTTGAGAAGAGATACAAAGTTTTTCTCAAAAGATCTCATTCAGGCTCTTCTCTGATGACCCCATCTGGGTTTGACAGGCATGTCACTTACTTTATTGACCTTCTTGAGCCTATTTATTACCCAATCTTCCTGTGTGTCAAACCACAACAGGATCTTCACCTACAGCCCGAGTCCATCTCCACAATAGTCAGAACAGGAAGTAGAATCTTCTTTAAAAAGAAAACCCAGATTTACAGTGAGTGACTTGCTAAGAGCAGATGTGGCATGTTCCACAGCTGGCATGTCACATGGGTTTTTTGCCCTGCAGTCCCTAATAGACTTGTGGTTTGTCAACACTTTTCCAGCAGCAGATTTAATGCAAAGTAGATAATTTTATCTTAATTCTAATAAGAATTTAGGAGACCTAGAAATTGAAAATAAGAGATTTGGCATCAACGGTCACCTGGAAATAACCAGTATTATAAAGCTGCCTCACATTTGTAATTTCAAAAATAAAATTCCCACCAGCTGGGAAGTTAAAATACAAGACAAAGAGGTGAGGGTAGACAAGAACTAAAAATATTTTCCTTCTTCAGTTTTAATCTGCTTGCATCACGTGTAGCAGTCATTTTCTCTTAGGTCAAACAGTCCCAGGTACACAACTTGCTGAGCAGCACAGCATCACCCTTACAAAGAGCAAGCTTCCCTGTTCACATTTAGTGGATATGCTCTTCAGATTCTAGTGAGTTTAAATAAAACTGTTGTGGCAAGTACATTTCTCTCCCTCTCAGGACTTTTCATAGAGGTGCACAGAGAGAAATGAAAGAGAAAACCATTTCTATTTCTGCTCCTTGTTTTTCCTATGTGGAATGTGTTTGGAGAATTGTTTACCTGGAGTGAGTGCTTGATTGGATTCTGGTGAGGATTGTTTGAGCCTGATGGCCAATCCAACCCACCTGGGGCTGGACTTTCGAGAGAGGGTCACCAGTTGTGAGAGTTAGAGTCAGAGAAGGTAGTATGTAGTTTTAGTATCCTCCTTTTATATAGTATATTAGTGTATTTTAGCATAGTTGTAATAAAGAAATCGTTCAGCCTTCTGAATTGAGTCAGACATCGTCATTTCTTCCCACTGGCTTCGCCTGCATTTACAATAAAACTGTATCCATAAATTGAAATTGTTTGGGTTTATTCGTCACGAATATTACAAGTGTGGGTTGCCCATCACTTTGTGTCTTCCGTATTGAGCTGCTTTATGGAAAATTATGGTAAAATAGGAATGTCCTATTGCCAAAGTAGGAGTAGTTATGGCAAACCAGGTATCTCGCTGGGTATCTCTGCCAGCGCTAGAGGGCACTCCGGGCTCAGGGAGCCCCGCAGTCCCGGGGGATGGATTGGGCAGCCTGGGGCGCCCACCGCCTCTTTCCCACCAGGACACCCTTGGCGTGGTGGCAGCGATCTCCCTCTGCTCGGAATTGGCGGGGTTACGCTGCCAACGAGGAGCTGAGCAGGTGATAGTGCAGCACTGCCAGCAGAGATACGCAATACTCGCCTCAGGGGTGAAGCGCAGAGCTTGGGGAGAAGCAATGTGGCTCTTCCCAAAGGAATGGTCAGTGTGGCACTTCTCTGTCACTGTGCTGGGTTTCTTTCCTCGCGGAGTAGTAAGTATTGCTTTGGCTTTGTCTTCAAAACTCTGGTCTTAAAGAAGCTCAGATTGTGACTGCTCACCCATCTAGCAGAAAATACCATGTCCTTGTGAATGAACATCACCTCCTCCCCAGCAAGGCAGGGAGAATGGCACATTTCCAGAGGTCTGCTTTTCCTCAGATGCTAATGAGAAAGCCGTCTAAGAAGTGTACAGCTACTGGGCTAAAATATGAAGGAGGAGAAAGTGGACTGAAACTGATCGAGGGCTACTCGACCAGTCGCTTTCCAGAAGGGAGAAGAAAACCCTTGCTGAGGTTCAAAAGACAGCCTATGGCTAGAATGTGAGAGGAGCCCGTTCCTAGTAAGCTGCACTGTTCTTAGTAAGCTCCCATTTTTGTGATGGGAGACTTAAACTGACCTTAAATCATCTCCAGCTGTGCTTTAGGAAGTAGCTTCCCAGAGAGCTACTCCTAACCTGCTTTAGGAAGTTTAGCCTCAGTCTCAATGATGTTAATTCTAAAAATTCCCCTCATGACTAATTCATATTTTTCCTTGATATTAATCTAATTTGCTGCAGGCTAATCCCTTTAGGTTTTGGCCTGTTGACAAACAAAAATGACTAGTCCCTGTATGCCTGCTTCTTCTCTCTGTGAATCTATGGACACTTATTATCTATTTCAGGTATTTTTAATTTCTTCAACAACTCTTAGAGCATTAAAATGTTGCTACTCTTCTCCTTCCTAGTTAAGAGAAAAGATTCCTGGTGTTCAGAGATGACTGAAGGAGACACTATAAGCAAGTTTTTGGTAAATTCTACATTCCCCATACATCTATCTGGATGAAATTCTTTTGTGTCTAAGTGCCTCTAATTACCACCTGAGGCTGTTACTGAAATACTTCCTGGAGTGTTTTCCTTCTTCCTCTTCTGGGTAATATGTCAGGGTTACTTCTTCACTGCTTTTGTTGGCTTTAGTTTAACAGCTGTTGCATACTTCATTAACGTTTTAGGTAACACATAATATAGACCTAATGCTTAATATGACCCTTTCAAATGGCAGTAGGTTTGGCTTTGATCCTGGACTATAATATTCCACAGATCCGCTACAGAGAGTTTCTCAGTGATTGATAAATGGAAATTTGCTCAACACAAACTGGCATGCTATGGCCACCAAGTTTCTGTTGCCTAAGAAGACAATATCTCTTTGGCATCCCAAAGCAAGGTTTGTATTCTTTTCTTTCATTTTGAAAATACTGACATTCTTTGTTTAGAAAATACTGGAAATTCAGACTGCAAAAAATGGCTCAGTAGTTTTTGCAGCAAGTGGGATGACAGTCCAAATTCCAGCCCAAGTCTTCATAGGCAGCCTTGGGGAGCTATTTTAACCAACCTGCATCTCTCAATTTCACTTCTATAAACTGAAGAAAATGTTCCTTTTCTGGTACTAGTGAGATATTTGGGAAATGCACTGGTACTAGTGAGATATTTGGGGTCTATAAAAGAAGACCTAGGCAAAGCTTGTGCACAGTCAAATTATAAAAGTCCTCAAAGATAAACAAAATAAATCAGCCTTAATATTCTTTGGCTTTTGTTTACCTACCTTCACCACTAGAATTTCCCTGGATTCACTGCTATTCCCGTGTGTTGTCTTCATAACTGAAGCCTTAAAATCAGGCAAAGCTTTTTCCATGAGCTGCCTCATTGTGGTAGTGGGTTTAGACATCCCAGCCACAGCAGAGGCTGGAACACACAAATGAGTTCCTTGGGACGTGGATATCTTTTTTAGTTTGGAGTAGCACGCACTAAGCAACATAAAATCAAATGCAACAAAATGAGACTGTATTTGGTGGCTGCCTGTGTCCTTTAAAGCAACGATCCATCCCACAAGCCAAATTCTTCCAACCTTGTCATGCAGGCACCCTCAGCACTAAAGTACCCAGTGCTGTAGCATATATTTTTTAAAATAAAAATTGTTAATTTAAGTATGCTGCAGGGAAATATAGAAAGCCATCAGTGAAAACAGAAATCATACAAGCTAAGTTTAATTTTTAAGCCCATGTTTCCCAGCATTACCTAAATACATGACTCCAAGGTTTTTCAGAAAACTGTGAAGCATTCAAGCAATATAAGGCAAGTTCAGAAAGTAATGGGCACACTGCTCATGCCCTGCACAGTCCCAGTGAGTATGCACAGGGAATGGGAGGGCCTTTCTGTGAATGTGTGTACACTGTGAATGTACAGGTCTGCCAGGTAGACTATCTGGCACTTGCAAAATTGTGCTCATGTACACCACAGGGCTGGAAACCCCAGGTAAAATAAGCAGTTCTTCAGTCTTACCAAATTTTTCATGGGGGAAAAAAAAATATTCAGGAGAAAATGCGCATATATCAACCACAGTTATCAAATCTTTTATTTAGATTTCTTCAACTGCCTGGGCAGCAACCATCTCTAAGTTACTACACTGAACTGGATGGAATTACTCATATATTGGCATGTAAATACAGAATTCTGAGCCTGCTTTATGATTAAACTTTACTGCCAGTGGCAATAAAGATGTAATTAGCATTATTGTAATACTGGCATCATCTTTTGTCTTGTTATTTCCCAGTCAGGAATTAGAAAAAGGAAATAAAATGGTGTCAGTCTGCATGAGAAGAGTGCTGGACCTGCAGAGTTATGCAGAGCACTGTAAGCATCTTGCTAGTGCAAACAAGAGCAACTCACCATAAAATGAAGGGAACAAACACTATCCACCCAACAGCATAGAACACAATGTTGTTCTTTATTATATTATTTAAAAGGGGCAGATTTACTCAGTCATAAATTAATAATTCAGAAGGTGTAAGGAGGCACAGCCAATTAGCTGCAGTAATTTGCATTTTTATGCTCCTTCATTAGTTTCCTAAGGTTCTTCT